AACCATTCACAAGCAAATATTTTAGTCGCTGCAGCTTGAGGCAATGGATAACAGTTGAGGCAAACAACACACTTACCAAAAAGCCTGTGAGGAAAGGCTGGGGAGTGAGATGGCCATAAAAGCTATGCAACACTCCAATATATTCCTGATAATCTAGAAGGCTATGTGTATGCGCAGGATTGTGGACATGCTCAGGAAAGACCACTGGCTGGCCCTGAGTCTCTGTGCAAGCAGGAAATAAAGGTAAAGGCAGAATTGTAAACTGCCTGGCTGAGTATAAAGGCATACTCCAACACGCACACAAAGTCCCTTGGAAAATACTGGGAGATTTTTTGGTTTTTGCTGTTGTAGGAAAGTCTGTCCAATAATTAGCTGACTGATAATTAAACAGAAAGTTCAGTGTCCACACTCAACAATGAATTCAGACTTTACAGAATTAGTTTAGAAAAGTCACTAAACAAAGAACAACCACAACAAGTAGCATCAGTAACAAATCCTGGGAAGAGAAGAGAATCTAATTCCCAGAGCTGCCACATTATTGTCTTCAAAACATCAAGTTTCAACAAAAAATTATGAAGCATGTAAAGAAACAAGAATGGCTGATACACAGACGAAAAGCAACCAATGGCAACTGTTCCTGAGTAAAAGCACATTAGACTTACTAGACACAAACTTTAAATCTACTATTTTACATATGTTCAAAGAGCTAAGGGAAACCATGTTTAAATAACTAAAGGAAACTATGAAAACAATGTCTCACTGAATAAAGTATACCAACAAAAAGAAATTATAAAAAGAAACCAAACATTCTGAACAGTATAACTGAAATTTTAAAAATAATTAAAATTCACTAGAGGGTCTTCATAGCAGATTCGAACAGGTAGAAGAAAGAACTAGTGAACTTGAAGACAGACAATGGAGGTTATTCAGTCTGAGAAACAGAAAGAAAACAAAGTGAAGAAAAATGAGCTAAGCCTAAGAGACCTGTGCCATACCACTGAGCATCCCAACATACACATAATCAAAGTTCCAGATGAGCGGAGAGAAAGGGGCAGAAAGAATATTTGAAAGAGTAATTGCTAAAACATCCAAAATATGACAAAAATTTTTAAACTACACACATAAGAAGCACAATGAACTCCAAGTAGGATAAACTCAAAGAATTCCATATGTAGATATTTCATAACTAAATTGTCCAAAGCTGAAAGCAAAGAATAAATCTTGAGAGCAGTAAGAGAGAAGTAAATCATCATGTACAAGAGACTGTTAATAAGATTATCAACTGATTTCTCTACAGAGGCATGGAGGCCAGAAGACGTGGAATGATATAGTCAAAGGGCTTAAAGGAGGAAAAAATTTCAACCAAGAATTCCACATCCAGTAAAATTATTCTTCAAAAAATGAAAAGCAAATTAAGGTGTTTCCAGATAAAACCTGAGAGAGCTGTTCACTAGCAGAGTTATCCTACAAGCAATGATGAAGGGAGGAGTCCTTCAGGCTAAGATGAAGAACACTAGATACTAACTCAAGATATACACCAAGATATACACCAAGATATAAAGAACACTAGTAAAGGTAACTACATAGGCAAATATAAAAGACATTAAAGATGTATTTTTTGTTTTTAACTCCTTTTTTTTCCCTATCTGGTTTAAAAGACACCACATAATGCAATAATTATAAATCTGTGTTGATGGGCACACAGTGTATAAAGATGTAATTTTTGGTAAGAACAGCATGAACGGGGGAAGAAGGAGGATGAACAGAGCTATATAGAAACAAAGTTTTTCTATATTATTTAAACTGAGTTGGTATTTATCTGAATTAATCCAAAAACCAAACCAAACTCATTGCTGTTGATTCCAACTCATAGCAACCCTACAGGACAGAGTAGAAGTGCCCCATAGGGTTTCCATGGAGCGGCTGGTGGATTTTAACTGCTGACCTTTTGGTTAGCAGCCATAGCTCTTAACCACTGTGCTACCAGAGTTCCTGAAACAGACTGTTACAAATTACAAAGTTAATTATAATCTCCAGGGCAACCACTAAGGAAACAACTCAAAAGTAAATAGTAAAAGAAACAACAAGGGGCTTAAAAGGGCACACTAGACAATATTCAACACAAGAGAAGACAGTAACGGAGAAACAAAATCAAATAAGAGATAAGAGAATGAACAGCAAAATGCCAGAAATAGGTCTTTCTTTATCAGCAATTATGTTAAATGTAAATAGATTAAACTCTCCAGTAGTAAATGCAGAGCTTGGCAAAATGGATAAAAGAACTTGATACAACTATTTTCTGTCTACAAAAACCCACTTTAGAGTCAAAGACAGAAACAGCTTGAAAGTAAAAGCATGGGAAAAGATATTCCAAGCACTAATAGAGAACTGGAGTAGCTATACTAATATCAGACAAAAACCTTTAAGATAAAAATTGTTATTAGAGACAAAGAAGGACGTTACATAATGTCAAAACATCAAGAAGATATAGTAATTATAAACATATATGCACCTAACAACAGATACCCAAAATACAAGAAGAAAATACTGACAGAACTGAAGGAAGAAACAGAAAATTCAATAACAGCTGGAGACTTCAACACCTCACTTTCAATAATGAGTAGAAAAAAAAATCAGTAACTTAAAGAGAAAAATAATAGAAAAAAATCAATGAAACAAGAGCCTCTTTTTAAAAAAGATTAATAAAATCAACAATATCTAGCAGAACTGACAGAAAAAAGAGAATTCTGATGTCTCCCAGTTTTCATATGAAGAATGAAAATAAGGCTATTACTATAGACTTTGCAGACATCGAAAGGCTAATGAGGGAATACTAGAAACAACTCTGATTACATAAATTGACACCTGAGAGAAAACAGAAAAATTCCATAAAAAGCACAAACTGTTACATTTCACCCAATATGAAAGAGATCATTTGAATGGGCCTACAATTATTAAGAAAATTGAATACATAGTGGACAGATTTTGTCAGAGCTTCCAGACTAGGAAGAAAGGCCTGGTGATCTACTTCTGAAAATTAGCCAATAAAAACCCTATGGATTGCAACAGAATTTTTTCAGATATAATGCTAGAAGATAAGCCCCTAGGTTGGAAGGCACTCAAAATACACAGTGGCCGTAACAACAGACCCGAACATACCAATGATCATGAAGACGGTGCAGGACCAGGAGACATTTTATTCTGTTCTGCATGGGGTTTCAGTGAGTCATAGACGACTTGACAGCAACAAACAGCAATAATGTTAGTAGCAACATGATTTGCAATAGCTAAAGAGTGGAAACAACCCAAATGTCCACCATATAATGAATGGATAAATAAAATGTGGCATAGCCATATAATGGAATATTATTCAGCAATAAAAAAATAAAGCACTGATACATGCTACAACATGGATGAACCTTGAAAACATTATACTAAGTGAAAAAAACAAACACAAAAGATCACATATTGTATGACTGCATTTAAATGAAATGTCCAGGCAAATCTATAAAGACAGAAATATACTAGTGCTTGTCATAGAGTGAAGGAAGCAGAAATTAGGAGTGGCTGCTAATGGGTACAGGGTTTCTTTTTTGGGGTGATGGAAAAGTTCTGGAATTAAACAGTGGTGATGGTTACACAACATTGTGAATATACCAGTAAACACTGAATTGTGCATTTTAAAATGGTGAATTTTATGTTATATGAACTTTATTTCAATAAAATATTGCAAAAAATTTTGAAATTCAGTACTTCTTCCCAATTGCTTGTGTGCATATTGATTCTTCTATACTCCCTGGATAATGCTTTGAATGTGTTAATGAGTTGGCATTTTTTTTTTTTCTTTTTTATTGTACTTTAGGTGAAGGTTTACAGAACATATAGTTTCTCATAAAACAGTCAGTACACATATTGTTTTATGACATTGGTTAACAACCCCATGACATGTCAACACTCTCTCTTCTCAACCTTCTTTTTTTTTTTTTGGTGAAAATATACATAGCCAAAGATACACCATTTCAAAATTTCCACATGCACAGTTCAGTGACATCAATTACGTTCTTCCAGTTGTGCTGCTATTCTCACTTTAGATGTGAGTTGGCATTTTGAGGAATCTTTGATCTGATTCTACATATGTCACTCTGTATCTCTCTGCTAATTGGCACATGGCCGTAAAAAAAAAGAAAAGAAAAAAACAGGCCCATAAAACGAGACTAACTGGGCGCACCAGCCCACGGGCAAGGCCAAGAAGGCAGGGGGAGACAGGAAATCCAAGGCTGAGAAGGGGAGAGTATTGACACGTCATGGGGTTGGCAACCAATGTCACAAAACAATATGTGTACTAACTGTTTAATGAGAAACGACTTTGCTCTGTAAACCTTCATCTAAAGTACAATAAAAGTTTGTTATAAATATGGTTAAAATGGCAAATTTTGTGTTATATATATATAAAACAAATTAAAAAATAAAAAAGAAAACCTGTAGCCACTGAGTTGATTCCAACTCACTGCGACCCTGTAGGACAGAGCAGAACTGCCCCATAGGGTTTCTAAGACTGTAATCTTTACAGAAGCAGACTGCCATACCTTTCTCCCTCAGAGCAGCTGATAGGTTCAAACTGTCGACCTTTTGGTTGGCAGCTGAGTGCTTTAACTACTGTGCTACACGGGCTCCTTGCATAGGGCTATTCCGTCTATATTAATCATCGTAAATTATGGGGTTTTGAAGAAACATTGTTTACAATGCTACATATGTCTATCTATCTCTCTCTCTCTCTGAAAAATACAATAAGACACATTTCCCTAGTACCACTTGCTGTTTGACAGAACCCTTCAGAAATAATACTTATTTGTATGTGTCAAAATTATGTCACTTAGTGTATGAACTAATTTGCTCAATAGGAAGTACTAATTTTTTTCTTTTACTTACTTATTTTTATTTCTTAAACCTTTGCTTTTATATTGTAAATCAGCTGTGGCATTCTACCAATGAGAACTTACCCTAAGCATGGGTCCATTTTGAAACACGTGTGGCTCATCACAAACCACACAGTATTCATTCAATACAGGGATACGCTGTTCAGCAAACTCAATTGTCTGAAGGCAACAATAAAGAAAAACAATTAGGTGGAGTTAATAATCAAAAAAATATACTAAGGATTACAATATTTTTATAATGGATGAAGTCTTTGTTCATACCTGCACTAGGAAGCCGTGGTCTCGTACTGGAATGCATTTTGCACCATTTGGCTATAAAAAGCAAATTAAAAGAACAAAATACCTTTTTTTTAATTGGGAAAAAATATGAATTACGGCCTTTCACTTTTTGGAACAGTGAATACAGGCGTGATCTTTCTAAGATCCTATGTAATATGAATTAAGTCACTGATTATCAAGATTTTAGGATTTCTTTACTTACTCTATTGAAATACTCTTTGCATTTCAATCTTTGTCTAAACTAAATGAATAGCTTTCTTAGTGTCTAATCTTCTAGTAAAACTGACTGGCATCTTTACATGATCACAACAAATGTGTTTCTTCTATTTCTCATTGTCAAATTCAGCAGGCTCTTCATTTACAGTATTTCAATCATATTTTACAATTAGATACAATTCTTCCTCCATGGAAATATTAGATAGCCACTGAAAGTGGTACAACACTAAACTATGTATTATTCCTACCCATATAGGAGGTAATTATGACACTTGCTTTTGCAGAAAATCTGAAACTCTCATGGGAAAATTTTCAGTATGTAATTCTTCTACATTATTTTCTCCATGTTCATAAAGCTTAGTTTTGAAAAGAAACGGGCTTCATGGGTGGATGTCCGCTTAAAATTATCAGCACACTCAAATAAATTTTCTTAAAAGAAATAAAATTGTACAGTATAATTTACAACTTAATTTTAGAAATAAATCTATACAAGAGTAACACAACTTTCTGAAAAGTTATCTTCTCATTATTTTTTTCAATATTTATTGCTGGGTGTATCCATATTAATGATTAGCACTAAATATCCCCCAATTACATTTTTAGTAAAAGCAAACAAAAACTTTTTTATCTAAACTATTTTGAATACGTAAATGATATGCCTAAGATCTGCTTCTTCATCTATAAAGTGACTTTAGTATAAAGTGGATACTAATAATTGCTTTAAGTGAGGTTCTGGTATATGGCTGTAAATGTTGCTTCTCTCTACAAGTAACCATGTTCATGAGCAAAATCCTCTTCTTATATATCACAGGAAGGAGATTACTCCTAATTTAATCATAAGGCAAACCTGTCCTCCACTACTCAGTAAGAAAACCAGAGATTAGAGAAACCTATATAATAAAACATTACAATTATATGCTTGCTTAAAAGGAAAGGCTTTGTAAATCTACTTGTCTTCCTTTCCTTTTTAGCCACATTCATTACTACAACAGCATTTTCTGCAAGACCTCAAATCAGTAGCTATACTTATTTTTTTACAACCAAAACTAACATTTCAGTATCAGTTGCAAATGTCTGGCATGCAAAACAATATTCAAAAAAAAAAATCAACAAGTAGAAAAACAATCTCGTTTCTTTTCTCTACCATATCTCTACCATATCTTACGAAGAAGTCTACTGCACTTTAGGTAATATTTAATTAAGAACCCAAGATGAAAATGTTTACGCACAGCAGGCTGGGAAGATGAAGATGAAGATGAAGATGGTGTTAAGATACCAATAAGCCCTGAGGTAAGAGAGAGCCTCCTGCCCTCTGAGTTAGGTTCCTTGAAAAGCTCTGTTTTGGATGACTTGGGAGCACTGGAGTAAGACTTGCTGAGCAACTTGTGATTCTTCAGTCCGTATAATTCTTCCATTCTGAGATTACTGGAGTAAGACCTGCTTAACAGTTTGTGGGGCTTCAGGCTGGTGTTGTGCTCACATCGCGGATCACCAGAACAAGATCTAGTCAATAGTTTATGCGACTTTAGAGTGAGGCAGTCCTCTTGCTTAACGGTTGCAGGGCAGGGGCGGTTCAAGAGTTTGTGCGATTTAATTGTCGTCATCGCCTGCTCAGCCCTGGGATCGCTGGACAGGGAGCGCCCAAAGGTCCTGTGTGACTTTGTGGCGCACACGTCATCGGTCTTGACGGTGCTGGAACAAGTCCTCCGCAACAGCTTGTGCGTTTTGGAGATTCCATCTTGCTCAGATTTCAGTTTGCATTTGCCTTTACCACAACCAGGGGGAGGATAACTTGGCGACCTTCAAAAATGAACAATTAATACAAGGCAAATATGAGTATAATGGACCATTGAGAACTCTCATCAGGCCCAAACTTAGCTCTTTGCAAAACACTGGATCTGGCGAAGTCTGGAGAGACTGCTATAAATATTTTGCCAACTCATTTTAATATAGTCTAACCAGCTAAAACTGAAATCAAAGGTAAATTATATTTTCCATGACAAAACAAAACAAAACAAAAAACTGTTCCAAGGGATTTTCCCCCCTCCTACAGAACTGACTTGACACATATCCCAAATCCCTGTATGGAACTATTTTTGGTTGGGAGAGTTCTATGTGATTAGAAAACAAAGAGAATATAATTTTAGTAAATTTAACCCATGTTAAGGAAATGAAAATTCTAGACATATATAACAGTGTCTATGTTTTTATGTACAGAACTAGTCATCTGCAGCAACAGAATACATGTAACTTAGACCTTTCTAAACAGATGCCAAGAATATAGAAGAATGCTCTGAACTGAGTAAAAATGGAATATCACATGCTCAGCATTTAGTAAGACAATGATTAAGTCACCTGTTACCTACCTGCGCAAGGTAGAAAATAAATGCAGGGGAGACTTCACTTTCTTCTCTGACAGCTTCTTATTGTGCAGGCAATTGGATTTTTCTTTGCTCTGTTTCCACTGCTGTGTAACAAATGTCTGCATGATTCTGTCAATCCAAAGATAATTCTGTTATCATGGTTCCAGCGTAATTTAAAAAAAAAAATTCTGTACTTATTATGTAGACAATGCATTTATACAAGGAAAATAAACATGTAGTAATCAGTCTGATGCCAATTTAAAATCATACAAGATGTTTTCATATGTAGGAGGGCATCATGTAGAAAGTTACCTATTTAGTAAGTGCAATAACTAGTTTCAAAGTGTTTTCTCTTAGAACATTGCTCAATAAAGGTCAATGCAGATGCCAAATTAAAGTTCATTAAAATTAAAGCGAACATATGGACAGCATCATAACGAAGGGCCTGAGCATGCTTTTAAGTATTCAATTATCTGATGATCTCTCTTGATAAATGTAAAATTTGCATATTCAGAAGAAAGAATAATCTTTCAGGAATTCTCCATGAGTACTAATTCTTAAAGCCAATATTTTGATAAGTATCTATCAAGTTTATATTTTGACCACAGCTAACTGAAGTACATCCCTACGTTGTAAAAGTCAGTTCAACTGGGGTAAGTTGTATGCCTTGTTATGAAAGGTCAAGACCATCCAGACTCTGTGTCTAAAGAAGAAGCCACATTCCTTTTGTGTGGAAGGTCACCAAAGGGGACAGTGTGGACGGCATCTTATTCAGGGAAAATCACATATCACTCTGGATTTGCAACAAAACATTGGAGATGAACCCCAAAGGTCTTTTCCTTAGATCACGCCAGTGATAATTTTATCTTAGAAAAAGCTGAAAGTTAATGAATCCTTCTGTCTGTAATTTATCACTTCTCTCTCCCCTCTAAGATGTAATTTTGTTTTGCTGACATTGTATCTGGCTCTAGTGGTGTTCTCTGCCTTTAAAAAATAGATTGTTATGTAAAAAAGACCTAAAAATCAGAAAACAAAGCAAACTAAAATTGAACAATGGAAAAAGTTATCGCAAAGTCTTTGTGGAAGTTTATGGAGCAATATGCAAAAGCTTCATTCATATCTTTTCCTGATACTCAAAAGCCATTTTCATGTATTTCTAGTTCAGGTCTATTAAAAATATCAAAGTTTGCCAAAAGGCTAATGACTATATAAACACGGCATTGTACGTACTAATAATGATATATTAGATAAAGAATGTAGCTACCTATTTAAATTAATTACATACACTATATTTTGAAGAAGTTAATTTATGAAAGTTAAAAAGAGTCATTATATTATTCAGGATCCAAACAAGGATCATGCAGTAACCCAGGGCCAGTGGCTGCTAAACTGTTACCACCTCCAGGCCATAAGAAATAAGCAGAGAGAATGTTAAGAGAACCCAGCAACAGAGAAAGTCCTGTAAAGGCTGCAGCCTGGAGCATCCCAGTGGGCTTCAGTTGAAGGGCTGGTGAGCCAGTATGACCTCATAGTGAGAAAAGCAGGACAATAAATACTCACATCTCGCTCTCCTTCCTCCCTAACTTTGGCCAAATTAAATACAAAGACACAAGAGGCTGTGTCCACACAGGTCAGCCTCCCTAGGCAGGGTGCTGTGTGGTAGAGGGAGGAGAATAGGTCTGAGGTGGCAAAAAGAAGGAAGCTGGCCCAGTTCTGAAGGTTAGCTCTGCTACCTAAATTATTTATGATGATTTCCTCTTAACATCATGATGAATTCGTCTCCTGAGGTGCTCACTTCAAAACAACTCTTAGAAATGTTAAAAGAATAAGCAGCAAAATGAGAACTCAGTTGTCTTTAATAGGAATTTATTTTTTATTCTCCAGAAAACTTACTTTTTCAGCTGATGTCCCAATCCAAATCGCTCTTTTGTGGAGATCTGAAAGACATCTACAGTGGGCACTGCAAAGGAAAAAAAAATCAAAGTCAAAATATTGAGTCGAAACTGGACTGCCAGCCAGTAGAAAGACAGAAGTAATAAGTGTGTATATTAATGAATACATATGTGTGTGTGTGTGTAAAATGTATTAATAAAAACAAAAAAAACCAAACCCATTGCCATCGCATTGATTCTGACTCATAGAAACTCTGTAGGACAGAGTAGAACTGTCCCATGGGGTTTCCAAAGAGTGCCTGGTGGATTCAAACTGCCAACCTTTTGGTTAGCAGCCGTAGCTCTTAACCACTACGCCACCAGGGTTTCTAATGTATATATACATACACTTAAAAAGAGCATACACACAGTCCTACACACTGCTATCTATACTTAATATATATATTTTGGAGATAATTCTCCATCATTATATATTGATAATGATCTTCAAAATATATAAAGTGTGAATAACAATGTATAGAACAGTATGTACACTAATTTTTAAGTGGGAAAGACACATATGTTGTATAGACATATACCTTTATTAGGAAAAAACAATGCAGGATGAGGGTAAGGCACAGGAGATTTACTTTCTACTGCATACCCTCTTACATGATTCCTTTTTTTTTTTTTTTTAACCAGGTATATGCATTTCTTTAAATAATTATGATGCTTATAAAATTAGCAACAACTTCTCTCTAAAAAGTCACTCATTATTTATTCACTGAATTAAAGAGAATTTATTGAGTGCCCATCGTGCCAAGCATTATATATAAGAACAACTAAAAATTTTTTTTTAAATGCTCAAATATCCCTGCCTCCCTGAAGTCTGTAGTCCAGTGAGAGGAGACAAACAAAAACAGATAAGAAAATATAGGGAATGCCAGAAAGTGATAAAGGCTCTGGAGAAAAAAAAAGAAGGGAAAGTGTATGGAAATTGCTAGTTCTATGGACACAGGCTTCAACATTAGATGGGATGAATAGGAAAAACTCATTGTGAAGATGATATGTGAGCAAAGATCTGAAAGATTTGAAGGAGACAGGCATGTGGACATCTGGAAGAAAAGTGGTCCAGCCAGAGGAAACAGGCTTAAATCTTCTAGGAACAGCAAGCCAACTAGTGTGGCTGATGTGCAGTGCTATTAGGATATAGATCAGAGAAGAATCATGGACCAGAAAGTGTAGGATGATCTCTTAGTGAAAGGACAAGGATAGAAACAGAAAGGTCAGTCAGGAAGTTATTACAATAATTGAGACAAAATATATGGTAGCTTGGATCAGTGGAGGTGGTAAATATTTTGGATTCCTACTCTGTTAGAGGTGGCAGGTTTGCTGATGGATTGGATTTGAAATGCAAGAGAAAAGAGTCAAGATAGAATCCAAGAATTTTGGCCTGAGCAACTAGAAGGACGAACGTATCAATTCTTAGGATGTAAAAGACTGCAGGAGAAGCAGGTTTGGCAAGTTGAGGAAGATAAGCTATTTGACTTTGGATATCTTAAATTTGAGTTGGATAGAGAAGTCCAGTATCCCGGCATTCAAGCGAGAGTAATGTGCTAAAGATACAAATTCAGAATAACCAGCACATACGTATTTAAACACACAAGGCTGGACAAAAAACAAACAACTTAATGAGGGTAGATGGAGGAGAGAAGTTTTCTAGCACCTGAGTCTTCTAGCATTCAGAGGCTCAACAAAGAAGGCTGAACAGGAATTGGCCAGGAGGATGGGAGAAAACTAGCATGTGGCTAATCAGGACACAAATTCACAGAAGTTTTTCAAGGAGGGATAAACAACTGTTATCAAATGCTGCTAGGTCAATTAAGATGAGGACTCAAAATTGACCATGGGGTCATTTAGCAATACTAAAGTCACTGGTGATACTGACAAGAACAGTGTTGGTGAAATGATGGGTCTAAATCTGACTAACATTGATTCACAGGAGAGAAGAGGAAAGAAAACAGATTAAGCTAATAGAGACCATTTTAGTCAAGAAAGTTAACAATCAAGAAAAGCAGAGTATTAGGGTTGTAACTGAACAGTCAAAGAGGTTTTTTGTGGTTTTTTTAAAGACGAGAGAAATATTTGTTTACTGATGGGAATCATTCACGAGACAGAGACTTGAATAGTATAGGAAGGAGAGGGAGACTTGCTGGAATGGTATCTTAATAGACGAAAGGGAATGAAAGCTAGTACACAAATGAAATGATGGCACTAGCAAGAGCATAGTTAACAGTTGGAATAGCAGATAATTAAAGACTGCATTGTTAATAAGACACGCTCATGCCACATATACCCTACACTGTAAACCAATATGATATGTGCCTCACTCCCTCTGTTGACCATTACCCTGGAATGCAAAAAACTCCATCAGCCAAGAAAAACTGGTGTTATTACCACCAAACAATCAGTTCCTTTCTTACTAACACCCTAATTATTATACAGACAGTAAGGAATAGAGTGAGCATCACTCCAATCCCATCAGCCCCAAACCCAGGGCTATAGAGACTCATAAAATGAATAAAAAGTTCTAATATCTTGAAAACCAAAGAGGCAGGCTATATCTCCGAGAATTATTTTATGAGAAAGAGACAACAATATTAGGACACATCTTGCTCTCTTTAAGAAGATTCAAGAAGACACAGTTTCTTCACAGGTAGACATAGAAGTATGGAGGCAAAAGCCTGGCTGAAAAATGTAGAAAAATCAAAATGCACTAGAAGAAGCAGAAAGTATTGACTAGAAGAAGATGGATGGATGGGTGGATAGATGGATGGACGGATGGGTGGACAGATGGCTGGATGGATGGGTAAGGTAGGTAGGTAGACACACACAGACAGGCATATAGATATATAACACATACAATCCTTTATTCAGAATATATAACCTAATTCCAATAAATAACACAAAACACAAAACTTAATCATACTAGGAATGACTAGAAAATAAATGTTAATATTTTATAAAAATGATAAATTTTCTCAAAATAAAATTATAAATATTGACTCAATTAGTAGTATAAAATCTGAATGATCCAGAATTTTAGAATATATTGAAAGAACTAGCAAAACATTATCTCCAAAAATATCTCAAAATTCAAGTAATAAAAGTCGTATTGCACGGTATATTCCTGAGCATGAAAAAAGAAAAAGAAAAGCCGGCACTATGAAACTAGAACAATCTTGATAAAAATACCTAAGCACAGTCAAGCATCTCATCGGAAAATAATCATTTGATAGAATTCAATACCCCAACAAGTTAAAATTATTATTTGTGTAACTAGGAACAGAAGGATACTTCCTAAACCCAATAAAGTACAGCTATTTTAAACAGTCAACATTATACCTAGTGGGAAGACACTAAAATTAATCCCATTAGTCTGGATAAAGACAAAGATGCCCACTATACTAGTAATATTGCATATTTAATATTGCTATGGAATCTAGACAGTAATATGAAGCATACAACAAAAGAAAGGATTATTGCAAGGCAAGGATTTAAAAAAAATTTGAAAATGACGTGACTGTATATGTAGTCAACATGAGGAAATCAAATTAAAAACAAAACTATTGGAACAAATAAAAAAGGTAATTTGGGAAGGTTTCCAGATAGAAAGTTGAAAAAAAAAATTCTCATATAAAAGTTAAAACACAAAGAGTGATCCTTCATGTATACAAAAGTTTTACAAAACCATTTAGGTGATCAAAGGATACCAGATTAGAATGCAGAATGTGACCAAACAATCTAACTATATTGCCAATATGAAACAACCTTACTGAAGAGGGCATAGAAAATAGGTGCTGACCGAAGTGTGAGTGGAAATGAGTGGAATCTGCAAGACTATAAGGCAAAATATACGGTGTATAAGCACTACTCTAGTTGATAAAGTACCCATAGGGGTACTGGTTAACAATTCTAATACGGCTATACTGGAATTGAATAACTAAGTAAATGGATGGTGGGTGGCAGATTTCCCACTGTTGGAATGGGAAGTTACAGATAAGCAAAAGGTTGTTGTTGTTAGATGTCAATTGTTGTTGAGTAAATTTCGATGCACAGCAACCCTATGTGACAGGGTAGAACTGCCCTCCAGGGTTTTCTTGGCTGTAATCTTTATGGAAGCAGACCACCAGGTCTTTTTCCTGCAGAACCAATGAGTGATTTGAACTGCCAACCTTTTGGTTAGCAGCCAAGCCCTTAACCATTTATGCCACCGTGGCTCCTAAAGCAAGGGAAGGAGGATAGAATAACCCATGTGGTAATAGATTAGAGTGGGAGACATCAGTATGAACTCATGTTTAGCTAAATATAGATACAGGTGGTTACATATAGGAATACTTATAGACATGTATATAAACACAGGTAAATATACACATATATATATTTCCTTGCTCTGTCAACCGAGAGGGCCTAGAAGAAATGACACCCTAGGAGCAATAAGCACACCTACCACTGAGATCTTAGTTTCTAATACTATTCTCCAATAAAAGAAACCAGGGTTTTTTAGAGTAATGGCTGATGCTAGCGCTGGGGTAGCGGATATACAATATAAGAGCATCTTTGGTGCCAGAAAGTAATGAAGAGCTTAAAGAAAATATACATATAAATATATATGTACAATGAACATGGGAGCTCCAAATGGCCAAAACTGAAACAATCTGAGCAACAAAATAAAATAAAAAAATAAATATCCATGAGTTAATACTGGATTGGATAAATAAATAAATAAATGGGGATAACAGGCAAATCTCTCATGCAGAAGAACCCCAAATAGTTTACGTGAATACTCCATCCTCAAAGAGATACAGCACAACTCCCTTCTCCCTAAATATGGGCTGTACACATTGACTTCCTTCCAAAGAACACAGTATAGAAAGGAGGGGAAAAGAGTAAGTTTACAGTGGAGAAATCTGACAAACATCTCAGCCAGATGATTAAGGTCACCATCAACTGTTATGATATCCTTGATATGATGGTCTTTAGCTCCGTGAACTTCTTCCCTCAAAATGCATAACCCCAGTCCAATCAT